CTGAATCAAATTGGGCTTAACTGACACTTTTGCAAAGGCTAACCAGCACAAAGACATCCTCAGTAGGCTTAATTAATAGTAATTATTCTGTGAGGTAGAATAATAGAATAATAGTAATTTTTCTTTGATAGACAATTGACTCTTGTCTATCAAAGTGCAAGACATCTCAGTGAATACAATCCACTTAAACAAATGGGCAAAGGACCTGAATAGACACTTCTCCAAAGAGGACATAGAGATGGCCAATAGACGTATGAAAAGATGCTCAATGTTACTAATCATCAGAGAAATGCAAATGAAAACCACAATGAGATATCACCTCACACCTGTCAGAATGACTGTCATTAATAAATCAACCAACAGGTGCTGGCGAGGATGTGGAAGAAAGGGAACCCTCGTGCACTGTTGGTGGGAATGCAGACTGGTGCAGTCACTACGGAAAACCGTATGGAGTTTTCTCAAAAAATGAAAAATGGAAATGCCTTATGACCCAGGATTCCACTTCTGGGAATATATCTGAAGAAATCTGAAACATTAATTTGAAAGAGTATATGCACCCCTATGTTCATTGCAGCGCTATTTACAATAGCCAAGATTTGGAAGCAGCCCAAGTGCCCATCAGTAGATGAGTTATAAAAAAGCTGTGGTACATTTATACAATGGAATACTACTCAGCTGTAAAAAAGGAAGGAAATCTTACATTTTGCAACAGCATAGATAGACCTGGAGAGTATTATGCTAAGTGAAATAAGCCAACTAGAGAAAGACATGTACCATTTGATTGCACTGATATGTGGAATCTAATGAAAAAAATGAACTAACAAGCACAATAGAGACAGACTCATAGGTTCAGAGAACAGACTAACAGCTGTCAGAGGGAGGGAGTTTGGGGGGCTGGGTAGAAAAAAGTGAAGGATTAAGCAAACAAATAAACTCACAGACACAGACTACAGTATGGGATTACCAGAGGAAAGGGGGTGGAAAAAGGGAAGAGGGTAAAGGGAGGATAAATGGTGATGGAAGGAGACTTGACTTTGGGTGTTGAACACAATACAATATACAGATGATATATTCATAGAAATATACACCAGAAACCTATATAATTTTATTAACCAATAAATTCAATAACGTTTTTTTAAAAGTATTGGTCAATGGTTCTAATTTAGTAGGTGGTTCTAGGGAATTTATTTATTTATTTATTTTTGAGAGAGAGAGAGAGAGAGAGAGAGAGAGAGAGAGAGAGAGAACGGGAGAATGAGAGAGACATCGATCTATTGCCTCCCATAAGTGCAACCTGGGTATGTATCCTGACCTGGAATAGAACCGGTGACCCTCCAGTGCATTGGACAACCAAGTGAGCTACACCAGCCAAGGTTAGGGCTATTTCTTTATGCTAAGCATGATATGCAGCACTCAGAACCAGCAAAAGATAGAAAAAAGTGTATAGTCCAGCCCTAGCCGGTTTGGCTCAGTGGATAGAGCATCGGCCTGTGGACTGACTGGGTTTGATTCTAGTCAAGGGCACATGCCCAGGCTGCAGGCTCCATCCCCAGTAGGGGGCGTGCAGGAAGCAGCCAATCGATGATTCTTTCTCATCACTGGTGTTTCTATCTCTCTCTCCCTCTTCCTTCCTCTCTGAAGTCAATAAAAATCTATTTTTTTTAAAAAGTGTGTATTCTACAGGAGCTAATAATATAGTTACTTAAAACACACTCACCAAACTTTAAAAACTAAATTCTGAAAACAAGAGGTAAGATTAAAAACAGAATGACATATCTTTATCTTTGTATAATAATTAATCCTGATCCCCAAAGCAGTTCTTAACCTTAGGAGTTTGGTTTAAAAGGGGACTGGTGTGTGTGTGACTCTAGTTCATCTTCAGTGTCTGGTTTAAGTACCTCTGTTATTGCGGGGCAAAACATCATTTTAGGTTTTTACTTCTTTTTAATATTATATCCAGATAATAAGTTTCATTTAGAAGTGACTATACATGCATGATCTTTCTGCTTTCCTTTAATAACCCATTATTATTAAAAATCTAATGAATTAATGTGAGTCTGACTCCAATTAAAATGGCAATGTAGGAAAGTACTGTATCCCACTATGGATATAGGCCTCTAAAGATTAATGATTGGGTGGGAGGCCATGGAATCACTTATAGGCATTTAATTAAAAAAAGTCAAATCTCTTTGTTCTTGATAAGGGTATATTTCTCAGTTTTCTTCATATCTATTCCCACTTGGTAAAGCCCCTAACCCTACCTACTCCACTGCACCAAAATCATTTGATCTTGAACCTTTAAGTCATCAGTGAATCCTCCTGCTAGAAAGAGAAATCCATGCTACTCAATAGGCTTAGTTATAATTTTCAATTAAAAAATCATCCAAAATATACTTTGTAACCAAGTCTGGCTAAAGAACATTAATCTCCAGAGCATCTTCCATTCAAGAGAGACATTCTGCACTCCGTTGTTTTTCTTTCTCATCATATCATATATTCACTGATAGCCATACACAAATAATAAAAATCAAGAACAGAATAAATACAGTAATATGCTTTTAACCTAGGTAGTGCTTTACATACATTCTGAACTGCCTTGTACTAAACCGTCTCAACACCAGTAACATACAACAATGTCTTCAGATTATCTGAGATTTAATATGAACATCAATTTAAAATATGTCAAGAGTTCAAGATATACTACCCAAGTACCATATATTGCTAATGATATCCTCCCTTATAAAAACACGATCTTCTTTCTCCCAAGTGATACAGGAACCCAATCTCATTCATTGACATAATAAAAAGAATTCATCTTGGAAACAGGTGAAAAATCCAGTGCTTTAATATCACAAACTCATTCCTTCCTAATGATATGCTATCCTTCATTATAGCTCAGAGTAAGAAAACATATGCATAGTTGGGA